AATATGAGAATCATATTTCTGGTCATATTGGGGGAAATCATGTTGGGGGAAATGAGCTTATAAAAACCATGTTTGGCAAGAGCGTCAGTTATGGGAGGTATATTTATGATAACTTGTTTAGTTTTATTTTTTTTGGTGATAGGAATCCCACTATGTTTCTACTCTGGCCTGAATTCCTAGGCTCAAGTGATCCTTCTTCTTCAGCCTCTCAAGTGGTTGGAATTACTAGTATGAGTGATTGTGTGTGTCTGAGAACTTTTTAAAGGGCAGATTTGTAATATCTGTGCAATAGAAAGGCATATATATATATATATATATATACATTTATTTTTAAGAATTTTAATATTTATTTTTTTTTTTAGTTTTCGGCGGACACAACATCTTTGTTTATATGTGGTGCTGAGGATCGAACCCGGGCCGTACGCATGCCAGGTGAGCGTGCTACTGCTTGAGCCACATCCCCAGCCCCAGGCATATATTTTTTAACCCTATAAATAAATGCATGGTTAGGAATTTACCACTATTGATTATATTTGAAATAATTTGTCAACACACATATGTATTTCTGTACAATAATCTGTAATAACAAATATTGGGAACTACTTAAGTGTCAACATTGATTAGATGAATAGTAATAATCTGTATAAATTGAACACCGTGAGTTTAATTCAAAAGGATGAGGCCAATCTGAATATGATGATTTAAAAATATCTCTGTGATATGTTAGAAAAACAAAGTTCAAGACAATGTATGTATGATTCTTCCATTTGTATAAGTAAAATAATAACCCAGATGTCCTATGTATACTATATGCCAAGATTTAAGCAATTTTATCAATATAACATCAACACGACTCCCATTCTCCCCATACTCATGGTTATAAGGGAATGTAATGTTTTCAAAGTTATTAAGTGGTTGAATCTATTCACTTGAATTGAGTTTAAGTCTCAGTATGTAATCATTAGGGTTTTGGGGAGCAACTGTTTCAGAAAAGGAATGTCCCTCTAGTTCAATAAATTGCCTCTGCAGAAAGAATATGGATATAACCTATGCAGAGAGTCATATAAAAATGAGCTTCTTTTTTCTTAAAATCTTATTTACATATCTATTGTAGTTTATTTAAAAAAGAACATACATTTGTGCTTTTCCTATTTAAAAGAAATAATTCTTCATTAATTTGCTTTAAATTTAGCTTGTAACAGTTTAAGGTGTTCCAACAGCCACACAGGGCAAGGTGCCGTAAGGATGGGGGAGGCTGGGCTTTCACTCTAGGGCAAAGCAGCGTGTTCTGGGGAACTACATGGGTTCCTTGCCTAAGGCACTAGATGTCTTTTTTTATTCTTCTTGAGATCATGCATTTGATTTAGGGTATCAAATAAGGCACATGGCTTTGCTACAAAGTACTTCATCAGCCCAGCAACACTTACAACACATCTTAAACCCAAAGGGCAATTGTTTCTCGCCTTTTTTTCCTCTTTATGTATAATTCATACAAGATTATTTGTCTGTTTATCATACTACTCTATGATCTTACTGAGAGCATTAAACTCTTCCAACCACTGATTCAGGAATAATCTTTTGCTTTTCAACATAATCAATTCATTTTTTTCCTTTGAAAAATCTCATAAATTTGAAGGCTGAAATATCCTTGTTAGAGAGTGTCCTAATAATTGTGCATAGTAGTGGAATATGAGTATGTAATCCCTCAGATGAATTTGCAACTAAAAGTAAAGAAGATTTTATTTTTTCTAGTACTCATAAGTTAAACTTTTGCAGTAACTAAGAAGGTACTATGGGATGACATAGATTAGTTAGGGTATGGGCTAAACTGTGGCAACAAAGGCCCCCAAGTGGATCGGGTCAGACCGAAGGGCACATCTTTCCTCTTTCAGTCAGTAGCTCAGGGAGGCAGGTGGGCTGCACAGCGTGAAGTGCAGTCAGCCAAGGTCTCATGCTGACAGGTCTGCTCTTTTGTCCCCTAAATGGGTCATCAAAGTTGTTGCAGCCATTTTCAGCCAGAAGAAAAAGGAAAGAGGGGAAGAAAAACAGTTTTTTCTTGAAGGCAAGAGATGCAGGAATCACTCATTCCTCTTCCATGCACAGTCCACTAGTAAGAACTTGGACACACACAGTCAGTTTTACTTTTTGTTTTGTTTTTGCTGTGTTGAGGGTCAAACTCAGAGCCTTACACTTGCTAGGAAAATGTTCTACTTTTGAGCTATCCCAGGCCTGGATAGTTATACTTCTGCAGAAAGCTGAGAAGTAATGTTTTCATCTGGCTGAATATATTCCTAAATGAGATCTTATTACCATGAAAAAAATGGGGAGAAGGGATTTTGATGGCAACTGTCTATCACATCTACCTTTAATTAATTTACAATTTAAAAATTTGTTTTATAATTGCATATGAATTCTAAAGACATAAAACCAATAATGCATAACTCAAAATGATTGTGATATAAATTAATATGAATTTTAGCTGCAAGCATTTATACTATGACTTTGTTGTTGAGTAATTGAAATAGAAACAGTCAGGAGTCAACAGTTCAATCCAAGACATTTACAGGACTTATATGATAATTCACATTATCCCTCTTCATTATCAGAATTCTAGAGCTGAAAATCATATTGTTTTAAACTACATGTACTTTGGACAATAATATCCATCACATTCCACCATCCTTGCTAACCCCTTGCTCTCTCCTTTCCCCTCCAACTCCTCTGCCCTATCTAGAGTTTGTCTATTCCTCTCATGCTCCCCCTCCCTACCCCACTATGAATCCGCCTCCTTATATCAGAGAAAACATTCAGTAATTCTTTTGGGGGGGATTGGCTAACGTCACTTAGCATTATCTTCTCCAATGCCATCCATTTACCTGCAAATGCTATGATTTTATTCTCTTTTATTGCCAAATTTTTTTTGTATCCATTCATCTATTGAATGGCATCTGGGTTGGTTCCACAGTTTAACTATTGTGAATTGTGTTGCTATAAAAATTGATGTGGCTGTGTCCCTGTAGTATGCTGTTTTTAAGTCCTTTGGGTATACACCCAGGAAAGGGATAGCTGGGACAAATGGTGGCTCTATTCCCAGTTTTTCAAGGAATCTCCATACTACTTTCCATATTGGCTGCCCCAATTTGCAGTTCCACCAGCAGTGTATGAGTGTACCATTTCCCCCAAATCCTCACCAACATTTATTGTTGTTTGTCTTCATAATAGCTGCCATTCTGACTGGAGTGAGATGATATCTTAAGAGTGATTTTGATTTGCATTTCTCTAATTGCTAGTAATGATGTACATTTTTTTCGTATATTTGATGATTGATTGTATATCCTCTTCTTAGAAGTATCTTTTCAGTTCCTTGGCCCATTTATTGATTGGATTATTTGGTTTTGTTTTTTTTTTTTGGTGCTTAGCTTTTTGAGTTCTTTATATATACCCTAGAGATTAGTGCTCTATCTGATGTGTAAGGGATAAAGATTTGCTCCCAAGATGTAGGCTCTCTATTCACCACACAGATTGTTTCTTTTGCTGAGAAGAAACTCTTTAGTTTGAATCCATACCATTTATTGATTCTTGATTTTAATTCTTGTGCCACAGGTGTCTTATGAAGGAAGTTGGGGCCTAATCCCACATGATAGAAATTAGGGCCTAATTTTTCTTCTATTAGATGCAGTGTTTTTGGTTATATTTCTAAGTCCTTGATCCATTTTGAGTTGAGTTTTGTGCATGGTGAGAGATAGGAGTTTAATTTCATTTTACTACATATGGATTTCCAGTTTTCCCAGCACCATTTGTTGAAGAGGCTACCTTTTCTCCAATGCATGTTCTTGGCACCTTTGTCTAATATAAGATAACTGTAGTTTTGTGGGTTAGTTTCTGTGTCCTCTATTCTGTACCATTGGTCTACCAGTCAGTTTTGGTGCTAATACCATGCTGTTTTTGTTACTATTTCTTTATAATATAGTTTAAGTTCTGGTATAGTGATGCCACCTGCTTCACTCTTCTTGCTAAGGATTGCTTTAGCTATTCTGGGTCTCTTATTTTTCCAGATGAATTTCATGATTGCTTTTTCTATTTCTTTGAGGAATGTCATTAGGATTTTGATCAGGATTGCATTAAATCTATATAGTACTTTCGGAAGTATGGTCATCTTGATAATATTAATTCTGCCTATCCAAGAGCAAGGGAGATCTTTCCATCTTCTAAAGTTTTGTTTGATTTCTTTCTTTAGAGTTCTGTAGTTTTCATTGTATAGATCTTTCACCTCTTTTGTTAAGTTGATTTCCAAGTATACTATTTTTTTGAGTCTATTGTAAATGGGGTAGTTTTCCTCATTTCCCTCTTAGAGGATATGTCACTGATATGTGGAAATGCCTTTGATTTATGCATGTTGATTTTATATCCTGCTACATTGCTGAATTCATTTACTAGTTCTAGAAGTATTCTGGTGGAGCTTTTTGGGTTTTCTAGGTATAGAATCATATTGTCAGCAAATAGTGATAATTTCAGTTCTTCTTTTCCTATATATATCCTTTTTTAACTTTAAACAAATTTTTATTACACAAAGGTTGTCACATAATTGGATATTTCTTTAGTTTGTACACAATTATTCTCACAGAAAGGCTGCTTCTGAACTTCTCATCTGGTTATGGCAAGCACTAAAATCCTGGTTTTAGCAGAATAGTAGTAAATGCCTTGTGATTTAAGTTGAAAGCAGTGCATTGGTACAAGGCTCTTGCACCTAGTATCAGGAATGTACAAATGTCTTTATTCAAAAATACAAAATAAATTATCTGTAGGCATGGACAATGACAGCAGTAAACCATTATACACTGTCAACTGAAACCAGTAACTGATGGTTATAGTGATTTTATTAAACATCAACCAGCCTTTTCTTCAGTCATTCTCTTCAACTGACTTCTCTGAAGTTATTGGTGAGGACCCTAGCCTTGAGTCACAGTTTACTAATAAATGGCAAAGCACTATTCTGAGAATTAGAACATGCCTCCTCCCATACCACCTCCCATTCTACCCATTGTGCCCATTCCAGGGTCCTTTTCTTCTTTAGGAATTTCTGTGACTATGACTTCTCCTGTAGTTAACAGAGAAGCAACTCCAGCAGCATCTGGTAAGGCAGTTCTTACAACCCTTGTTGGACCAGTGAGTCCTTTTCCTACCATATTCACAAAATCTCCAAGCATAGCATCATAGCCAACTTCTAAGGAACTCTGCAGAATTTTCTAAACTATCAAAGAGCCTTTAACACCTGCATTCTTAGCAATGGTCATTGCTAAGTGGTGTTTTTTTTTTTTAATGATTTCTATACCAATTTTCTGATCCTCATTAGCTGGAATTAGTGAGTCCAAGGCTAGGCAGAGCATAGCCCCCACCCAGAACAATGTCTTCTTCAATGGCAGCTCTTGTAGCATTGAGGACATCTGTAACTTTGTCTTTTTTTTCATTCACTTCGACGTTACTTGTCCCACCAACCTTCAGCACAGCTAGTCCATCTGAAAGTTTTGCCAATCGTTCATTAAGTTTTTCCTTTTCATATTCACTATTTGTGGTTTCTAATTGCTCTGTGATTTCTTGAGTATGATTTTCAAATTGAGATTCATCACTTTTTCCTTTCAAAGGCATGGCATCATCTTTGGTGACAATGACTTCTCCAACTTTTCCTAAATCATGAGGCTGAACATCTTCAATATTTAGGGTCAAATCCTCCTCACCAAACACTGCACCACCAGTAGCAATAGCCATATCTTTAAGTTGGTTCTTTCTATTGTCACCAAAACCTAGAGCTTTAACTGCCACAACCTGAAGATCAACTTTTAGCCTATTCAAAACAAGTGTACTTAGAGATTCTCCATCAACAGTCACACCATCTTTTGTTACTTTGGGACTTCCCCAACTCTGTTCAATAATTACCTTTCTTCCCTTTGTAACAGCTACAGTGTTGGCTAAAAGGTCTACACCTTGAAGCATTAAGGCTTGGGCATCTGCACCAAATTTTACATCTTTGGCATAAGCCCGAATGAGATGAGGAGCCAGTCCCCTAGACACTGGTCTCATCTGGCCAAGGACTGTGGGTAGTCGAAGCATTTCTGTGGGGCATCGGCAGGGAGTGCACGCCACAAGGCAGACCGTCTGGGGCGAGTGAGGGCTATATATCTTTTTAATCTCTTTTGTCTAATTGCTCTGACCAGTATTTCAAGAACTATGTTGAATAGAAGTGGTGAAAGAGGGCATCTCTATCTTATTCCAGTTTTTAGAGGGAATGCCTTCAATTTTTCTCAAACAAACACACATATATATTTAGAAAAATACAGGATGTTAAAATAGTAAAATTTGGAGGGGAAAAGAAAAATGAAAGAAGAAAAATGAAAAGAAAAAATGGGCATATACAAAACCTCTATATTATATTATTCAGAAGACTCAGTCCTCAAAATCCTATTTCATACGAAGTTCTTGGTTTCACATATGTTGGGGGATGTGAGGACCAGAGCATAGAAGGTTAAAAGAGAAAGAGAAAAAAAATATTTGAAGGAAGAAACCAGGGTTGTTTCTAGTTTTAGGGATCCATTTCTTTCCTGCTTCCCTTCTTATGCAATAGGTGGAGTTGTCTGTTATAAGCTGGTATCTCTGCCCTCAGGATGATGGAGGTAGAGAAGGTGGGAAGACTGGTCCTGGTGTAGGGCGCCTGGAATTGGGGGAGTGCCACCTGCCAGTCCTGCAGGGAGACTGCACCTCACAGGTCTCTTTTTGGGACTGCTTGTTCATATGACTTGAGCACCCAGTACTATCTTCCTCTCTTGCCTGGAGATTTCCCAGTTCCTGGTCTCTCTGTTAGGCTCCAAACTTTAGCCATGTCTCCCTCTCCCTTAGCAGTTCCCAGTTGTGGGACCTCTTACATCTAGGCTCATACCAGGTGGGTGGTACCCTAGTCGCACTGCATACCTGTCCAACTGAGAGCTGCTTTTGTGTTGGGTAGTAACTGTGTTGAGTTATTGCCTCTGGGGAGATGGGGAGTTAGAAACCTGGTACCTGGCCCCATGGAGATCGGATCTGGGAGCTGCCCAACACCAGATATGGCGAGAAAGATGGTCTCAAGATGGAGGCAGTCTACTTGCAGCGCTGGGGTGTCTGGTGAAGTGAGGGAAGCTGGTTGATGGCCTTATGCTATGGTTAAGTAGCAGCAGAGTGACCTGCGTGGGAGAGGAGTGAAGTCTAAGAGCTCTGCAGAGGTGCTGATAGGTGATTCTGCTAAGTGAGCTGTGCGTGGGCTAGAACTCCTTGAATGCTGAGACTCGGAGCTTTGAGACTCGGAGCAGGGGTCACAGCACTGGTAATTTCTGCAGAAGTCAGCGAATAGGAGTCCTTTAACATCTATTCTCATAGATGCAGTATTCTGACTAGGTGAGATCTAGATCACGGAGCGACACAGAATGCTGCCTCACCCTGGTCCACCATCTTCCTGGAAATGATATTTCATTGTTAACATTACATTTACATCTTTGAAGTTACATCTAACAGGTTGCTATAACTTGCTCAAACAAACTGGCTATTGTCCATCTAAAGGTCCTGGAGTGTCGCATTACCAATACTGTTGCTACTATTGTTGAGTTTTTGCAAAAGTACTGAATAGATAGATGAACTGGATAATTTAAAGAAAAGAGGTAGGAAACATACATTTCAGAATTGTTCAGCACTTTGAATGTGAACACGTGGTTATGTTTTTTTGTGTGTGTGTGTGTGTTTTTCTATGTACTAGGACAATTTGAAAGACTTAAAGATGCCTGGAGTCTGGTTTATAAGAAGAGATACAGAGTCAATAGGCCCACTTAGAATTCACAACCTCCATAGTGATAGAAAACACTCTTATCAATTAAGAAAGGGTAGGATAAGCTGCTAGTGTTCTTGAAAAAAGATGTTAATTAAAAAAAAATTTAACTCTGTATGGAAAGAGAATATTTTTCATTCTTTGTTGTTGTAGATGTTATATCTATTTATCTTTCTTCTTGTGACTTTAAAAATTGGCACAATTGTGAATTTTTCATGAATTTGTTTTTCGGTAAATGCACGTCATACTTGCTATAGGGCTAAGGAGCTAACTACATTTGGAATAGAACTATATTTGACTTATATTGCAAAAATTTTTGATTAAAATTCTTCTAATAATACTTCACACATTCTACAGCCATCTATATGCTAATATTTTCAACAAATTATCAGATGCTATTTCTACGTAACCTTTTTCTCAACAAATGACCTGTCATGTTCATAATGGCCTCAATTTTTGGTGGCAGTTTTAATTTTATCTAGCAAAAAATTGAAGACTCATAAAGAAACTAATTACATAGTTTCACAGTTAATAATATGGTTTCTAGTTTTAAGACTTGTAATGTATAAATTTACCTGGTTAAACTTTCTTGGATCCAAGACTGCTGCTGCTTCTTAAAAAAAATAGAAATACTTTAAAAGCAACATAGAAATTTTATATTATAGACATAGAAACATTGAATATTGATTTTTCCATTGGTGTTAGTGGCTTTTGAAAGCCTAAACGTCATCTAAATTATGTTTCTATTACACAATACTGTCTTGCTAAGATACCCTCTTTGAAGAATTTTCAGTTCTCCAAAATGTAATCAGAAGAACGACGTATCTGTTGGAAAATTTATTTGGGTTATTTACTAACAATGTCAGTAGTACTTGTTTGGGATGTTAAAAACATAATTCTTAAGGTATTTTGTTTTTCTGGCTACTGACCATTGGTGGCAACAGTGCAAAAGAAATTCATGTTGTAGAGAATTATTTCATCTTTATCTAGGGTTATCTTAGCAAATACCCAATTAAAATAAACTGACTAATGATACAAAGCTGACATAATTCATAATGATTTTGTTAAAAATAGCTCTGCAAGAACTAGTATTAAAATGCAGAAGGACTTTTATAACTTTTCATTTGATATTATCCTTTGTGACTTGAGAAAGAATTTAAGATCAGAAAAGAAATACAATAGGAAAGAGAAGACAAAAAGAAAAGAAGGCTTGAGAGCAAGAGCTCGAGATATTAAAAATATAACACAATAGGGAAACTGACAAAACAATAATTAGGAAGAAAACATTGGGAAAAAAGAAGAAAAATAAGGAGAATAAACCAAAATTAAGAGTGCAAAAAAAAAAAAAAAGAAAAAAAGAAAAAGTTTGGAGCTGCTAAACTCATTGTTAGATATGGTGTTATGGTTTAGACAAGAGATGTCCCTCCAAAAGCTAATGTGTGAGCAATACAAGAAAGTTTAGAGGTGAAATGTCTGGGTTATGAGAGTCTTAACTTAATCAATGCATTACTTCCCGATGGGGATTATTGGAGTGGTAAGTATAGGCAGGTAGGGTGTGGCTGGAGGACATAGGTCATCAGGAGTGTGCATTTGGGGCTTATATTTTGTCTGTGGTGAGTGGAACTCTCTCTCTGCTTCCTGGTGCCATGTTTCCAGCTGCCTTCCTCCACCATAATTCTTGCCATGATGTTCTTAATTACCTCAAGGCCTGAGGAATGAAGCCATCTATGGGGTTGAGCCTTCTGAAACTGTGAGCCCCAAATAAACTTTTTCTCCTCTAAAATTGTTCTTGGTCACAGTAACAAAAAAAGCTGACCATACCATCTGTTGAATATTTTAACCTATTAAGATCTGAATATTCCTATATTCTTATTTTGAACATATAAAGACCCTGCCATCATTTATTCCTTGGTAGATGGATTCTGTATCAATATCAAGAAGCCGTTAAGCACATTTTGTCAACTTGTTTTTTTGCTTTTCAACTTTATCTGAAAATACACTTCCCTCTCATCTATTCCCTTGATTGCTTTCTTTCATAATTGAATTGGTGAATGAATGACTTAAATTTATTCATTGTGTAATGGCTTTGAACTACTTTACATAATTTATATGATTATCCATTCTATTATTTAATTATTTTTCTCATTTTATTTCATAAGGCTTTTGGGGCATAGCTTATGAAAGACATATTTAAAAAAGCTCATGCATATTGTTCTTTAATGTCAAAGGACTGTTTCCATTAAACTTAATGATCCTTCAGAGAAATTGACTTTTGAATATAAAAACTATTTTATCATTTTGATTGAAATAGTTTTAATTTGGGCACTCTCTCGGTCACAAAGTACTGAACACTTGCATGATTGGGCTTAACAGCATACACTCAGTGGGTCTATCATAGAGTAAATTGTGTATTTTATCATCTGTTCTCATTACTGCTGGTTGACTTTCAAATTTCAGACTTCAACAATGATAATATTATTCAATGACTTTATTCTGTTGATTCAGATGTCAACTTTCTAGTCTTTGGAAATTTCAGAAACAAGCCCTATTCCATTCCTTTTCCTCTTTCTTTCTGTTTTGTAGTGCTAAGGATCAAATTCAGGGCTTCTTGCTTGCAAAGCAAGCACTTTACCACATAACCACATCCTGAGCTATCTTTTTAAACAGAGTTTAAAATGCAGTCTGAATCTCACATTACTTACACTGCCATAATATTGTAAATGTTGTAATAGTCACACATTTGATGCTACTAAATTAAACATTCACAACACCAGTAAAAGCAACCAAAATTTAGATTGTGGCTTTAATAACTGTTTTTTTTTTCTAAGCATATATGACTAATTTGTTTAGAAAAAAGAAAGAAAAAAGTGCTATTTGAAAATCTGATTTTGAAGAGACAATTTCTTTGAAAATATTTGTTTTCATCAAGAAGCAAATTGCCATGTAAATGACTATCTCATGGATCTTGTCTCTCTCAAGATTTAATGAAGATGGCAGTGAACCCAAAAGATAGTATAAAACCCAACATTTTAAAATTTCTTATTACAGATTCAGTGAACCAGAAATTGTCGCTTATTAAAAAGCTTGCATAGAGAGTGGAAGACAAAAATTAATGTATGAGTGGGTTAAGAGTTAAAAACGCCATGGAAATTTGGAGTAAGTGGGCTGGGGATGTGGTTCAAGCAGTAGCGCGCTCGCCTGGCATGCGTGCGGCCCGGGTTTGATCCTCAGCACCACATACCAACAAAGATGTTGTGTCCGC